TTTGTTTGTGTGTCTGAGCTGGGACTAAAGTCTACCAGGGTTTGGGAGAGAGAAAAGGGCATTCAGGTAGAGGGATCACTAGGGGCACAGGTGCAAGGGTGAGAAAGAGCATTTAGAATTTTCTAAAAGCCTTTTGGGGTAATAACAGGAAAGACCCTGCTGCTTATCTTGAACCCCAGGGTAGCAGGGCCTGGTAGAGCCTTGGTTCTCCTGGGCCTTTTCCCTGCCTTCTGCCTCTCCTCCATCTCTGGACACCCTCCACTCCTCAAGCAAACCCCAGTGCCACACTGTGTGCCCACCTTGGATGGTCTTTCAAAGCTCAGCTCCCCTGCCACTTCCGGGCCCACAGGTCAATAGTCCCTCAGCCTTGCTGGAAGGCTGCTGGCTATCCCAAATTTTCCATCATTCTCAGTTCCTTCCCTCAGGGTGGTCTTCACCCAAGTCAAACTGGGAGAGCCTCCATATGGGGTGGAGATAGAGTGAGGTCTTTGAAGTCAGGGGCTGGGGTCACCCCCTAAAGCTGAGTAATGGTGAGCAGCTGGCACTAGGGCTCGATTATCTGGGTGATGGGGTGAGGGAACACAACTGGTATCTAGGGAACCTTCAGAAGGGGCTCCGATCTTATAGATAACACAGAACCCTTCTTTACTTCCCCAGCTGCCAGCACCCGGTCCCAGTCTCCTGGCCTCCATCTGCCCACACCCTCCATCTTCCCTGCTAACACACTCCTGACACTAGCAGATGGGGACAGGCTGGGGCTAATTCAGTCCATGGCTGAACCCCAGAGAGCCTTTCTGTCCTTATCAGTGATTTCTATGGGGGCGCTGCCCTGCTGGCATGTGGCCTGCAGAGCCCAGGGGCTGGGGCTGCAGCCTTAAGCAGTCACCTCTAACAAGACATTTTAGCTGAGAATTAACTTGGATGCTATGTTCTGGTCCCTAACATGCATGGCCAGTTTGTTTTAGCATTAAAATAATGATTTTTGTCATTTACCATTTAGATTAAGACTCTGGTAGATCTCCCCATGCCCCACTTGCCCCCACCCAGCCCTCTACAGCAGGATCAGGGTTACAGTCTTGGGAGCCTGGCAGCCCCTTCATCACACCATGCAATTCTGGAGGCCACAGCTCCACGTTCTATGTAGATGGAGCTCCCGAAATCCAGCAACCCAGTGGCTCTTGTGGAAAGGCCACAGGGACTAGGAGTCAGAAACATGGATTCCATCTGACCTTGCCAATGTGACCTTGAGCTGATGGCTCCCCTCTCTGAGCCTCTGTTCCCTGTGTGGCAAATGGAGGTGGCACAATCTTCTTCATAGGGCTGGATGGTACCTTCCAGATCACATTGTGACTCAGGTGGTGGCAATTTCAGGCCAGTCAGGAAGCCAGGGAGCATCAACAGGAAGTGGAGAATGGGGAACTTGAACTCCCCTGAAATCTCAGAAGGTGGGTGGTGTTCCACTGCACCTACAGAGGAGTCCCCCTCCCACCCATCCCCATGTGATGAGCACTGCCCCACAGGGCGTGAAGGAGACAAAACACCTGGAGAGAATTCTGCTCCCATGGGCACAAAAACAGCCACTGACATGTAAGCTGGTGCCAGACTGCAAGTTGTCTCCAGGGGACAACTCCAGCTCCGCATGTGGAGTCAGTCCATCCTGTGACAGCCCCCGGGTTCCACCAGCCAGGCAGTGGGTGATGAAGGATCAGGGCACCCCATCCCAGCTCAGAGCACTGAGGTACAGCAAGCTCCGAGCATGCTGTACCAGCAATGACCTTCCCAAGCCTTTTCTTTCTGGGCCCAGTCTTCCTCTGGAAGCAAGTTTTCCTGGCTTCCCGAATACCTGCCCTCACACAGGCTCCTCTCTGCCATATGCAAATGGAGTGCCAAGCCCCTAAGCTCCGAGGCTGCTGTGGCCCCTCCCTCTCTGCTACATAGGCACTCAGTCAGTGGAAAAGGCAGACAAGCTCAACCCCAATCTCTCCCAACCTCGCCCACAAGCAGGACCAGAGTCTGCCTTCCCCTCACAGTGCTGCTTCTCCACGCCCAGCTCTGCCGCAGAAGTGGCTGAAATCCTGGTATTATTTGGTTTTGTTTAGCAAACAAGGAGCATGCAAAACAGCTCCCAATCCCTGTGTGTGTGTGGGGGGGTGGGTGTGCATTAGTGTGCGTGTAAGATGTGTAAGAGGCACAACATACCTCCTCCCCCATCACCTAACCTCACATTTTCTCCTAACTGGAGAGGTGTGGGGTCTGGTCCCACAAGGGTGGCTGTGGGCAAAACTCTTGCCTTCTCTGGGTGTCACTGTCCCCATGGGCAGGAGGAGGGGTAGGGAATGTCTCCAAGGTTCGCTGGTTCGGGTGCCCTGGGCACTTGAGCTAGAATCCGTCTTTCCCTGCCTTCAAGAGGCTGCCCTGCAGGACACCAAGGAAAAGGCCAGCCCATCCTCTTACACAAATTGCCCTCCCAGCTCCACACCCCTGACAGGTTGGTTTGGGAAAATTCTGGGGAAACAGGAAGAGCTTTTACATTGGGGACTGGGCAGCCTGGGGGCGGAGGTGGGATCTGCCTCTGCTTGTGAGTGGCTGGAGGCCAGATGTGAGCCTCAACTTCAGCCTCAAACCCACAGAGGCCTATGCCAGAGGACAGAACTAGAGGAAACTCCTGTGGGTTTCAGAGGACAGGAGGGTAAACTGAGGCTTGAAGAAGACATCCTGGACTCAGAATTTAACCCTGATCCCCACTCTGACTCACCCACTGTGTGACCTTGGGATGCTGGTTGACACCTTTCTCCTCCTCCTCCTCCTCCTCCTCCCTCTCTCCCCCCAACTCTCTGCTCAAATGAAATGTTAGGAAAACCTTGAACACTGACTCCACTTCTTGGAGGTAGACCCGTGCATATTATACCCAAAAGGCATTAAGAAGTCGTGTCATGTGGTGGGCTGGTGGAGTGGCTCAAGCAAGCGTGAGGTCCTGAATTTAAGCCCCAGTGCCACCAAAAGAAAAAGGTCATGTGATAAAAGTTTCCACTTACCTCTAACCCAGCATCCCTAGGTCACCGGGCCACTGTTCCCTTTGCTCCCTTGAAACATGGCACCTTTGGGAGGTCTGTGAGCACACCATGAGGAACCCTTGCGCTGGCAGTCCAGCAAGCTCCACGGGCCCCTTGGTGACAGTGCACGTGAACCTGGAGTGGTCAGCATTCACTGTCCTGAGGCAGGAGGATGAGGCCAGTGCAAAAATGGCTTCTAGTGCTGTCCAGCAGCTGCCTGTGGCCTTTTCTTGGGGACATTTCTTGACAGTAGAGCCTCACAGAGTGGCTAGGGGTCAGACATTGGCTAATGAGATGGTTTTGGAGCCCAGGGTTAAGGGACATCCTGCAGAGGAGCTTTCTGACAACAGTGGAGTTTCTTTGAGGCTTTTGTTTTGTTTTGTGCTGCTGGAGATTGAACCCAGAGCCTCAAGCATATTAGGCACATGGTTTTGTTTTACAGTTAAGTTTTTTTTGCAAATACCAGCCCCCCTCCGTCTGGGAAGGTGTAAGCCCTCTTGCTTATAACGCTCTCATGGCTGACCCCTCTGGGCATCACTTACTCCATCTGTAAAAGGGGACAAAGACTACTCCCTGGCAGAGATTTACAGAGAATTTTTGTGGAAACCTTCAGCTAACTCAACACTTGGAAGGAATTCATTCAGACATGCCTGCTGGAAGGGAGGGAGGCAGAGCCCAGAGACTGCCTTCTACTAAGATGAAAGCTACCTACAAAATCCTGCCATCCATGGTTAGGGGCCCTTGAGCAGGAAGCAAGGAGCCCAAATGGCTGGGTATCACATGTGGGAGAGGATCTACTGCAGGACCCAGGAAGGCTTCACAGAGGAGGTGGCATTGAACAGCCTTATTTGAAGGGCAGATCTTCAAATAAGGATGTCTGTGACTTGGCTACACTTGTGGGGGGCTGGGTCTTGGGAATCTTTCCAACAACTCCACCATGTCAGCTGTTACATTTATAATTTACAGAGGAGAAAGCTGAGCCCCAGGGAGGACAGCCCCCCCCCCACCAACCCCCAAAGTCACACAGGTAGTAAGGTGGCAGCACCAGGCTTAACTTAGTCACATGTGCTAGGTCCCTTTTGCCATACAAGGTAAGGCTCACAGGTTGTGGGGATGATACCATGAATGTAGACTTCAGGGGCCGTTATTCTGCCTCCCACGGGGATTACACTGAGGACCCTGAGGTGGACAATTGTTCTGGATTATGCAGGTGGACCCCATGTACAAGAGTCCTTATAAGAGGAAAGCTCAAAGGCCTAAGGCAGAAGGAGAGGTCAGTGGTAAAGGGAGGGACCATGAGTTGAGGGACACAGGTAGCCTCCAGAAGCTGAAAAAAGACAAGGAAAGGGACTGCCCTGGGGCCTCCAGCGGGTCGCAGCCTGCTGCACCTAGATTTCTCTGGGTAAGGCTCGCTGTGTGTTCTGACCGCTGCAATCATAAGCGGGTGAGTTGGTGTTGCATGAAGCAACACCACAAATCACACCATGTGGGTGATTTGTTACAGTGGCCACGGGAGACTGATAAAGCCCACAATGGACCTGGCCCCACCTTTGCACCCTGTCACTCTGGTCCTTTACACTAGTGCTCTGTGTGCAGCACTCCCTGCCTTGGCTCTGAGCTCCTGTATTTCTCTCTGCCTGTCCAGGCTCCCCTCCAGCCTTCCCCAAAGCCTTCTGCAGTCTCTTGGACCGAGTAGGTGCTTAATAAATGCAGGTAATATGTAAACAAATGTGTGTCTTTATTTTCATTTACAGCAATTGAGAGGAACAAGCTTCTGACAGTAGTAATTGCTGCTTTCTAAGCCCTGTGGCCTGAACGTAGAATCTGAATATCAGCAGCCAGCTGAGTGCTGGTCAGAGGTGGGAGGCAGCCAGCACATCTGGCTGAAACGGAGGGGCGCAGACATCCAGCTGGGGCAGGAGACAGCCAGAAAGAAGTCCCCTAAAATCCAAGGTGACCAGGTCTCAGTGGAACAGATAGAAAAAGTGTTTCTGTGAGTTCCAGCTCTGGCCTGTCTTGGCACCCCATGCCTGTGGGGTTTTCCAGCTTTCTGTGCTGACAGGGGAGGCACCTGAGCACATCCATGGACAACTACAGCTCAGATTGACCTGGCCCAGTTCCCATACTTTGTGGCAGGAGAAACGTTGGTCCCACGAGGGAAAGTGACTTATCCGAGGTCACCCAGCAATTCCTGAGTCTCGAAACAAGCTGGAAGTTCCTGTCCAGCGCTACCTCCAGGATAGTGGGGATCCAGGAGCGTGAGGCAGGCCTCCAGGGGACAGGAGCTGGAGAAGGAGGGCCAGGAGCTGGCAGCAGGTCCAGCCTCACTTGAGGTTGTGCTGGCTCTCACGGTGCCGCCGCAGGTCCACCTTGCGTTGGAAGCCCTTGGTGCACAGCTCACAACTGAAAGGCTTGAAGCCTGTGTGCTTGCGGCTGTGGGTGATGAGGTTGGAGCTCTGGCTGAAGGCCTTCCCACATACCTGGCACTTGTGTGGCTTCTCACCTGAAAGGTGGGCGGGCAGCACAGCAAGATGGGGTCAGGGAGGCAGCGCCAGGCCTGTGTTCCTCACCCTACCCATACTTGTCCTTCAAAACCTTGTTAAGTTTTACCTCATGACCAACCCACATTCACCTTAGAAAATGATGAGAAAAGGGAGATAAGCAAAGATACATCCCTCCCTGGGTTGTAGGCTGGTTAGTGTAGGGACCAGGCCCCCCTCGGAGTTATCAACAGATCCTCAAGGCTGGAACGGGGCCTGGCCCAAAAAAGGCACCTGGTTAACATCAAGCAGAGAATGAATGAATGAGTTGAGAGGATAAGTGAGTGAGTGACTGAGTGGCTGGATGGGTGGGTGAGTGAGTGAATGAATGGATGGTTGGATCTTCTCACCATAAGAAAAAAGGAAAAGGAATGAATGAATGGGTGAGTGAGAGAATGAGTGAGTGAGTGAGTGAATGAGTAAGTGAGTGAATGGCACCCCTGTCCCGCTGGTCTATTCTAGCTTCAGTGTCCAGTCAGACAACTGAGCACCTCTCAGTCAAGTTTATGCATGAATGAATGGCTAAATAAGTGAACAGTTCACCTTCTGGTCTCATTCCCCCCAGACGTCACCATCCTGACCCTGTGCTGTACCTCTGTCATACTTTCCTCGCGCTGCCCACTGAGTGGCATAGGTGTCGTCTGCCTATTCCTCCATCAGCCTGCAGCCTTCCCTTTGAAACTAGACTCAGCTCAGCCTAAAGCCAGGGCCTCTGCCAGGATTTCAGTGAAAGATGGGATGCCCCGAGGCCAGTGGGGAGGCTTCTGCAGCCTCCAGCTCCCTCTCTCAGTCAGGGACCCCAACCAGGCAAGGGTTCACTCACCAGTGTGGATGTAGGTATGCTTCTTCATGTCTGACTTCTGATGGAAGCGCTTCCCACAGAACTGGCAGGGGTAGGGCCGTGTGTCCGAGTGGATGAGCAGGTGGGTGGACAGGGTGGACGAGCGCTTGAAGGCTTTGCCGCACATCCGGCACTCGAAGCTGCGCTCCTGCCGGAGGAAACGAGGCCCCAGGGGGTCAGGTGCAGGTGGGGCCTCGAGGCCTGGGAGAGCCAAGCTGGGCGCAGGACTGGACCCGGCCGCGATGCCCTGAGGAAGAGGACACTCCATTGGGGTGGCCTCAAGGGCAGGACCTATAGAACAGGACCCAGGAACAACCTACCCACCCCCCCACCACACTACTACTGTTCCTGCCTCATATGTAGGACTGAGGCTTGGGGCCTGACTGGCCTTTTGTGGGATTTTTTTTCTTTTAACCTTCACAGTATTCCTCTCAAAATAAGTCTTAATAATTGTTTGTTGACTGACTGATGAAATGACCCATCAGCTTTTACACAAGTTCACATTTCACACCATTAATCCAAAGTGAATTTTTTTCTAGCTGGGACAATGATAGGCAGAGCAGTGCTCTAGCTGAGTCTGAATTTTGAGGCCCAGTTCTGGCTGCCACCTCTTAGTAGCATGCAATTTTAGGCAAGTTATTTAACCTTCTAAGTCTCAGTTTCCTCATCTATACTCTGATGAGCTCGAAGGGTCTGGGAGGATCAGAGGGAGAGAACTGAGCCACTCTGGCAGGTGGCTCACAACTGCAAGCGTGGTCTTTTCCTGCCCTTCTCATCTGAGCTCTTCTATTTACCCAAGTTCTGGTGACCCATGTCTGTTTCTGCTGCCCTGCCTGGAAACAGGGATTCCACTCCTAATCTACTGAGCTAGGACCAAGTGGAATGAGATGAGCATTTAAACTCTTAAGATTCTAAGAACCGAGGTCTTCAAAGCTGGGGACACCTGCAGGGTTCCCCAGAGGACAGGATCATTTCTGAGGATCATGGACATTTCACTGCCCCCCAAATCCCACCAGGGGCCAGCACCCCCTCCAGTCATATGTGACTCCAGCTGGGTCAATCAGAGACCCTGACCTGGCGAGGCAAGTCGTAATACCGATCCATGTCACCTTCAGGAATCAGGGAAGAGACCAGCCCCACCCCCAGGCTCCCTTGGGGAAGCACAGAGCAGCAGCTGAGGGCTGGGAGTCCTGCTCACCTGGGAGTGGACATGTGTGTGATGCTCCAGGCTCACGGCGTGGCCGAAGGTTTTGCCACAGATGTCACAGGCAAACGGCCGGGTCCCACTGTGAGAGCGGCGGACATGCACTTCCAGCCCATGTGGGGTGGAGAACACCTAGAGGGCAGGAGCCAAGTGTGAGGCTGCTGCAGGGAGGCAAGCCTGCGATCCCATGGTCACCTCACACACACACCGGCTCCAGTCATGAACGGGCCACAGGGAGGGGCATAGGCTCCCAGTTCTGCTGCTCGTCTTCTGTGTCCCTTGAGGAAGTAACTCACCCTCTTTTGGCTCAGTTTCCTGTCTATAAAATGGAGTGTCAATGGGGGATCTGGAAGATCCCTCCTTGCTATCCAGAGCCTAATTAGCCTAGTGGTTACAATCTTGGAGTTGGCCAGAGAACGTTTGAACGCTAGATCCTTGAACACCGGTATCTCCTTGCTGTGTGCTCTTGAGCAAGTGAGTAACCCTCTTTGAACCGTAGCCCTTCATCTACCTCCTAGAGCTGGTGCATTTCAAGCAAGGGCTTAGCACAGGGCCAGGCACAATCAGAATTCAATGACTGGTGATGAGAACAAACATTTTGAAACCATGATCCTATGAGGGTCCCATGTTCTCCACAGAGAACACCCAGTCATGAACTCCCACAGCTGTCAGTGCCCTGGAGAGGGGTGCAAAGCAGGACCTGCATGCCCACCCTGGTATTCAATTCACCTTGTTGCACTTGACGCAATGGTATGTGTCCATGCCCGGGGAGTAACGGAGGCTAAAGTCCAGGGGGGGCTCAGTGCTGGGCACCAGGGGGCTGCCATACAGCCGGACAGAGTGCTCCAGGAAGGCTGACTGCATGGTGGAGGGGGCCTGCTGGTAGGTATGACCGTAGGAAGAGGCCAGTGCATCCCAAGAGAAGCTGGGCTTGTAGAAAGGGGGTGACTCAGAGAGTGGTGAGTCCCCATCCTGGGGTCGGGATGTCATAATGGGCCCCTCTGTGGAGACAAGGGGACATGTCTGGTGATTCATTTAAACATGGGGCACCCATGGCCCACCACCCTCCACTACCCATCAACCCATCAACGGGTGACCTCGTGTTGAGGGCTCAGTATGCAACTCCAAGTATTTCCTGCCTGGGGGGGCATCTGTGTCTTCACTGTGGTTCCCAAGTTTTCCCAGCCTGGAAGCGCCCCCATCCCCACCCCCGGATGCCCATCTTGCTTGCTACACGGACGTCCTAGCTGCTTCTGTCCCACCACACTGAAGCCCTCATCCAGGAACTGGCTCCCCATCCAGGAGCATCTGGGAGGACCAAGCAGGAGCCGAGAGCCCAGATGAATCTGGATGAACTTGTCAGTCCTTGCTGACTCCATGACACCAAGGGGCTCTGCCCCCAGAGTCTACTCCCCTTCCCTTCTCTCAGCACATGCAAGGGAATGACTGGGGGGTTCTGGGCTGGGGACCTGGTGCTGAGGCCATCCTGGTCAAGCTCTGTTCCAGCTCCAGCTCCGGCTCCTGTTTGACGTTGTTCCACTCCAGGTGCTGATTTGGGAGCAGCAGTGTGCTGAGGACAGGGCTGTTGATCAGGACCTGGTCCCTGGCCACTGTTGAGAGATAAAGCCTAGTGTCACCAGCTATAGCTTTTTGGGAAGCCTGCAGAGAATGAAGCCTCTCACTTCCCAGAGGAGGGATCCCAGGGAGAAACCAACTTGCAGCTGCTTCTGGTGGCTGACACCAGGGATTCTGCCTAGGGTGAATGGAAGGTGGGGGGACCATGAGGAAAATCCTGTGCTAGTGACCTTGATTTGTCTTAGCACCTAGACCCTAGCCTTCAGTTGGACCTCTGATTAGGACACACATCCTTATATACTAGCACCAATCCCCATGTGCCCAGCTCTCTACCCATGCACCCAGGGTCACAAATAAGTGACCCTCTAAAGGGTCAGAGATAAGTGCATTAGTCTTTCCTTCCAGACATGGAAGAAGCATCACTCCAGGAGGCCTGAGCTTGGACTTACCAGGGGTGACAGCAGGAGGCCAGACCAGGTCATCCTCACGTACACGGGGCTCATGGTAGGTGTGAGCCTTCTTGCTCTTCACCAGGAAGGAACGTGGCATTTTCAGTGTGGGCCCCACACCTGCAAGAGGAGAGGGGAGGGATGGAATGGCTAGGAGGGACAAAAGAACAAGAGTCCTCCGAATCTTAGAATCTCCTCCTGGGATCAAAGACCCACTGTGCTGAGTGGAATAGTGTCCCCCCAAAATTGCTTCCACCTGGAACCTGTTACTGTGACCTCACTGGAAACTTAATATGATTAGTGTCCTTGTAAGAAGAAGGAAACATGGACACGGGGACCCAGACACGCACAGGGAAAGTGCAACACGATGCAGAGGCCGGGACTGGAGTCATGACTGGACTGCTGAGAACGGCTGGCTGCCATCAGGAGCTAGAGAGAGGCATGAAAGAGCTCCCCTGGAGCTTCGGGAAGGAGCCAACCCTGCTGACACCTTGCCTTTGGAAGCTTAGACTCCAGAACTATGAGAGAATTAATTTCTGTGGTTTTGAAGCCACCCAGTTTGTGGTCCACCCTCATGGCAGATATGAAACCTGCCCCCACTTCCACTGGGAGAGGGCACACTTACGCCCAGAAACCCTCACCTCGGCCTGCTCGCACTGGGCAGGGCAAGGGTCTCCATAAACAGTGAGTTATGGAAATTCACAGGCTGTGGAAAGGTGTCCCAGCTCAGACTGGGCTCAGAGGCACGTGGGTGAGAATCTCAGCTCTCCTGCTGTGCAAAACCTCAACCTCTCTAAGCCAATGCAATTAGCTTCCATAAGGTGTGATGTCTGGCCATGTAGTCGTGTAGTGCTGACCGGTTCATACCACAGGGTGGCTGGCAGAGGGGCTGCGGCAAGCCAGGGAGGCTCAATTACAGTGCATTACCCTGTAGGCTGGAGAGCCCAGAGTGCCTAGAGTCTGGACTCCAGAGAGGGAGGAGCTTTCCCTTTCTGAGGAACAGAAGGAGGCCCAAGGGGACCCCTCCTCCACCACACCCGGAGACCTGATGTCTCATTGTGGACACAAAGGCAGAGTCAAATGCCCCCAACTCCAGGAGCTGAGCAGTGGGCAGCCCAGCCTGGCCTCCCCTGGAAAGCAGACTGGCAGGAGAAATTGAAGCCCTAATTGGTCAAGGAACTTGCCCAGGCTGGGGAGTTGGAGGGAGCTCCTGACTACTCCAGGCATCCCCTGCTGAGCCCTTGGGGCAGAGAGCATCCCTCCAACCCTTCAAATGATTCACATCTCTGCCCTAGCCTGTGAGGCTCTCCCGAAGGCCCAGAAGACAGAACATCTGAGAACCTCTGTCTTCCCTCCTCCCCAGACTGTGCAGAATTAGGTTCAGAGGAAGTACTGGTTATGCAGAGGCCCAGGTGGAGTCCTTCCTCCACCCTGGGCCAGCTGCCATGCAGGACTGTAGCAATGATAGGGCCCAGCAAAGGCGGGAAAAGGATTATTGGCTGCTTCTGAACAACAGTGAGGGCTGCGTGATAAGGCCTTGGCCCAGAGCGGGGTGGGAGGTGGGAGATTAGAAAAGGCAGCTTGGAGCTGTGCCTTGCTTAGGGCAAGGACCCTAGGAGTCACCCCTTCCCCAAGGGAATGAATGACTCAGAGCCAAGCAGAAGAGGGCCCTGGATTCCTTGTCCCCCTGGTCCAGAGACCCACTGGGGGACATCAAGTGTTTGGGCCTCTTGTTGCTGGGGAGTCTGTCACTGAGCCTCCATATCCAGATCTGCTAAGCAGAAATCACGATCCGATGTCAGGGAGGAGGAAAAGACCTTTGTGTATCTCGAAGAAGCGTGTGAAGTATGAAGCGTGTGCCTGGGCTAGGTCACATATGTGTGGTGCCATCTTTGCCCACCAGGGAGGAGCTGCAGGAGGCCAGGAAGGAGGCTGCATCCTGCTGCATCCCACATCCCCAGAACCCTTGAAGGACTGAAGGATGAAGCCTGGACCAGAACCCACAGTGGTCCCCAGGAGCAGGGACATATTCAAGGCCCTTCACTCTCCGAGTTCTAAAAGGAGGGATGAAACTTGGCCTCACCGCTGTCAGATTCTCAGCTCTCTAAACAAAGGCTGCACCACAGCTACTGGCTGCTAACCTCCCCAGGCTGGCTGGGCAGCCCAAGACCTTATCTTTCAGGGACATATCTTCCTCCTCCTGCCTCTCCCCCACCATCAGGGTCCCCCCCCCTTCCTTCCCCCTTGAGCGCTTCCAACTCTTCACTTCAGGAAAGCCCCTGGGTGGAAGGGAGGGGACCCCTGTGAGCTAGGGGAGGACTGGGTCCCTGGACCTTTGTTCTGTGGGGATAGCCATGGTCTGTCAAAAGGTGAACTATTTTATTAGGAAATTAACTAATTTCCTGAGACAGAGCACCAGGACAAGTTTGTGGCAGCCATGGTCTGCTTAACCTGAGCACCTTCCACTGAGTCCTGCTCTGTCCCATTTCACAGAGGAGTCACAGAGCTCTGAGGCTGCTAGGGACCCCAGGGCAGAACATGGTGAGCAGGACGCATCTGTCCGGGATAGGGGAGAGGGACATTTATTCAGTGCTGCCTGCATGCTAGGGGTTGGGCAGTGCCCTTCAAAGCATTTTCTCACTGAGGGAACTGAGCTGCAGTGCTGAAGAAGAAAACCTGGCAGTGTTTACCTCATCCTAGTCTGTGTTATGTCATCAAATCATACCTGGGACCATGGCACCAGGGAGAATCTTGCTGGGTTGCAGGTGGGGGATTGAGGTTTAGAGAGGACAGGCAGGGCAAAATCATGTCCAGGCCTTCTGTCCTGTTAGGATTTGACTCCTGGTCCACTGCTTTACTAGTGCCATCCTTGGCCCTCGAAGCAGCTCCTGGAACAGGCTGTCATATGAGGGGAAGGCGGAGTGCTGGGCTAGAGGGCAGGAATTCAGACTCCCCCATCCTCAAGTCTTTTCCAGATCCCCTAAGGCCCCTCGTCAGGTCTGGAGAGCTGCAGGTGGAGAATAAGTGAGGAACAGATTTCTCTATAAAAACCTTGGGCCCAAAGCTGGAAGGGACCCAGGTCCACTGACAACAACAAAACAGTGATCTTCACATTCACCAGCACAGGGAGCAAGAGGTCGCAGATTCTGGGTGATTCTCATGCCTACCTTGGGATCTGCCTGAGCACCCCCCCACCCCGTCCCTCTGCCCTCCCCAGAGTTCTCTCCCCTAAGCCTGGCAAAGTGACAGCAACACAGTCAACCCTATGGCCAAGCTCCCAAGCCTACAGTAGGGGTCAAATGTACCCAACAAACTTCCCTTTGGCCCCTGTGAGCTGAGTTTGAAAAAAAAAAAAAAACAGGAACCAATCACCTATAGTATAGTTAATTAACAACCACTGGGTTTTGATTCACACGGACCCATTCTGAGAAAGAACTAAGAGCAGAGATTGTGAAAGAAGCTCCGGATTTCTTCATAAAACAGAGGCGTTGATGGTATCGAGCCTCCGGAAGGAGGCCCTGGGTTACCATCACTTCATAAGCCTCCCATTGTCCTGATAGAGGGTCCTCTGACCCTGAGTCAGAATCTCTGCCACTGCTTCCTGGAAGGGCATAGCCTGTACCCACGCAGTGTCCCTCACCTCGATGTCCAGGTGGAGTCAAGTCAGCAGGCTTTGATTTTCCTGAAAGCAGGCACCTCATGCTGTCTATGGAATGGGTCTGATTTTGTGACCTCAAACGTAAGACTGCATCAGTCACCGGCCTGGGTTGGGTTTTCCTATCTCTCAAGAGACGGTTGAGCTAAAAGATTTCTAAACTTCCCTTTTGCTTTAAAATCCCATGTACAATCCGTTGACCTTCTGCGGGGAATGACCCACCTTGACGAAGACACGCATCTGTCAGGTTCCCTTTTTGAGAGGGTTGGGTAAGACTGGGTTGATTCTCAGGGTCAGCTACAGGGGACCCTTTGGACTTCCTTTATGTTTAAAGACACAATACAAGGAGGGAACAAAACCTCTCGACGTAGGAGTTGTGGGCAAAGGAGCCCAGATCATGTAAGGTGGCCCAGCACAGAACTCAAAGTCATCCAGGAACAATAACAGGATTGCAGAGGGATATTTGCACAATTCATAACAGCATTATTTACGATAACCAAGAGGTAGAAACAACCCAATGTCTATCCCTGGATGAATGGATGGGCAAATACAGTCAGAACACACAATGGAATATTATTCAGCCTTACAAAGGAAACAAATTCATCATCGAACCTGATGAGCCATGAAAATACACTAAGTGAAGTAAGCCAGTCACAGAAGGGCAGATAGCGTATGGCCCCACATATGAGTGCCTGGAATAGCCAAATCCATAGAGATGGTAACAGATTAGATATTACCGGGGTGGGGGGGGGGGATTGAGAGTTATTAGTTAATAGGTATGGAATTTCAATTTTACAGTATGAAACAGCTCTGGGTATGTCTGTACAACAAGGTAAAATACTTTACTATTTTTTTGAATTAGCATACATTAATATGAGATTTCATCTTGGTGATTCCATGTGTTCATGCAGTGTATTCTGAACAAGTTCACCCCTCCATTATATTTTCATTCCCCCCAAAGTAAATATGCTTAATACCACTGAACAATACACTTAAAAATGGCTGAAATGAGCCAGGAACAGTGACACCCTTTTGTAGTCCCAGCATTCGGGAAGCTGAAGCAGGGGGGATCACTTGAGCACCTGAGTTTGAGGCCAGTCTGGACAACATAGAGCAAGATCTGTCTCAAAAAAAGGGTGAAGGGAATCTGGGAGTGTGGTTCAGTGATAAAGCACTTGCCTAGAATGTACAAGGCCCTGGATTCAACCCCCAGTACACACACACACACACACACACACACACTCACATACTCACACACTCACACACGCACGCACGCGCGCGCACACACACAGAGGCTAAAACGGTAAATTGTATGTGTAAGTATTTTATCACAATAAAAACAAAAGTGAGCAAGTGAACCACTTCCTATAGAAAGCAGAGCTCCCATTGGTGGGAATTCCTGAAAAGGAATGGACACAAAGGCTCCCTCCAGACCAAGGAGGGAGTGTTTTGCTCTTTCTGCCAGCGATGTTGGTGTTTCTCACAGGGAAGTCTCATGTGATCGGGCTGCTTTACCCTTGGGATGACCTTGGGCTATGTGGTCCCAGAGCCTTCTAATAGGTTCCTCACCCAGCTCTCCCTGCCTCCCTGGGAGCCGCGGGAACCATCTGCACCATTTGAGTGAGTACATCAATCAAACCTAAATCAGGTGTAGCCCTCGAAAGTTCTCCAAGAACTTTCTGCACAGAAAGCAATCTTCTGACCCCCAAATCTGAGAGTTAGGGAGTTCCATCTCTGAGAGTTAGGGAGTTCCATCTCTCCTCATCCCAAGAATTGCTTCTGCAACACCTCTGAAGATGAGTGACTTGGACATATTCTATCTGCTGCCTACTAAGAAAGATGAGGGTTTGCCAGACCCACAGCTGGAGGGTGTTCCTTAATTTGCCCCCAAAGATCTTACAAAGCTGTGGACTTTCTTCCCAGAAAAGCCCAACCCAGATGCCCACAGACTCAAATTTGGCTTTTTCTCCAAAAAAAAAAAAAAAAGGTAGAAAACTCTAAGCACAGTCACAGTGAGAAGAGACCAGAGACAGCACCTTCCACTGATAGTCCTACTGTGCCTGGAAGGCTGGGGCAGCTTCGCCCTCTTCCCTCAGTGGGCTGCAGAGGGGAGGGTGCCTGACTTCAAGTGTTTGGGGGACTTTTGTGAAGGTCTGGACTGTGGGATGGTGGGGCTAAAAATTCCTTCAGAGTTGGGGACAGGGGCAGGGCTAGTCCTTGCCCCAGGATACACCGATTTAGGCACACAAGTGTGTGCTGGGCACTGCCCACGTCCCTGGGAGAGCTGGGGTGCAGGCATGACTTCACACGTGTGGGTGATGTCTGTCCGCTTAAAATCGAGTTTCAGAAAGTTCAGCAAGAAGCTCCTCGGACAAGACCTTGTCTTTACCACATATCCTCCCGGCTTCCATCCCAGAAAGGAGACTTTCCCACCCCTCCTTTTCTTCCTCTAACTGCCGAGGAACTGGGCATCCGACCATTGGACATGCAAATGTAAAAAAATAAAGAGAGAGAGAGAGAGCGAGAGAGAGAGAGCGCTGACACCATCCTCCAGCACTCACCTGCTGGAATCTGCCCTCTTCCTCCTGACTTCTGCTGGAGGGTCCCTCCGTGCTGGGAACCTTGAAGCCTATCCCTGGGGACTGGTCTCCACTGTCAACTTTGTGACTCTGCACAAATAGATACTTCTCCTTTTCTCTCTCTCTCTCTCTCTCTCTCTCTCTGTGTGTGTGTGTGTGTTTTCCTCTTCTGTTCCCCTCCCTGATTTTCAATCTGATTATTTGTGTCAAAATCTGGCGGTGAAGCAGCAGCCAATGGAGAGGACGCGAGCGGGGCCCATTTGCTTATCAAAACTTTCCAGGAGCGAAGCTGCTGCGTCCTTATTTCTAATCCGTGGCTCTCAGAGGAAATTTTCTCCACAATAACATCTGGATGCAAAGAAAGGAAGGCTAAATTGTTATGTTTTAAAAATTGAACTTAAATAAAGCATTTAATTGTAATACCTGCCTTTGTATATAGAGAGAGGTCATCACTTTCTTTAGTTTTTCTTCCTTTCCTTTTTCTTTTCCCCTCTCTTTTTCTCTCCTTTATTTTCCTTTCTTTTGTTCTCCCTCCCTCATCTCTTCTACTTTTCTCTCTCTCCCTCTCTCTCCTTTCCCCTTTCCCCTCCTTTTCTCCTTCCCTCCCTTTTTTTCCTCTTTCCTTCCTCTCTCCTCCTTTCCTTTCCTCCCCAAGTTCAGCATCCTGGACGTGGGTTCCATGCGGGAGCAAAGCCCCTGGCTTGTGAGCGTAGCAGCTTGTCCCCGCACAGTGAGTATCTGAGACAAACCAGTTTGCGTCCCCTGAGACAGGAGCAAAGGACGGATGGTGGAGCAGCAGAGGTGCGGTAGTGCATTTAGGGGCTGTGGACCCTCCGCCCATGAAGCCCACATAGAGATTGAGCGCCTGGCTCCAGAACCAGCACCTGCCGCCATCTGGTGGCAGCAAAGGACAAGGAAGGACAGTGGAGCCTTTGAATGTCCCGCTCACCAGGGGAAAGCTTGGCTGGCCCAGTTGGGACATTTCATCCTATTTGGCACAAAGCCCCATCCCCTCAGCCCCTCTTCCCACTTCAGGGTGACTGATTTATTTCAGGAGGTTTTGCATAAGGGAGAACTCCACAAAACAGCACTGTTAGCTGATTTGCATGTTCTTGCAGCCGGCGCTAGAGAGATTACGTCTCCCTCATAAAGAAAACAAACTTGGCGACAGGAAGCCCCGGTTTAAACTTCAAGTCCAAGGTTCGAAGTGGAGAGAAAGGGGTGAGGCTTTCTGCTGCCGGGCCAAGTCCTGGAACCCCAGCGGGCGATCAGGACAGATACCCTGGGGGAGGGGGCAACAGCGGACACTAGGAGGACAGATCTCAACCAGTAGCCACAGACCGGAGACAGCTCTGCCCAGCCCCTTGGTCTCTCCTGGCAGAAGATTTGGGGAAGCATCTTGACTATTCTTTGGGTGATGCCCTCTGCCAACAGTCAACTGGAACTGTCTGCCACTAGGCAGAAAACAATAACAATAAGACAGGCATTTTCAGAATCCTCCCACCTGAACAGGTGCTTGTTAAGTCATGTTCTCACTGAGTTATATGCAGAGTCACACTTGACCGGGGTGTGGGGGGGGACACCCAGCATGTTTTTCCCCACGGAGCCTTATTTTATTTAAAATCTTCCTAAATCCTTTTGCAGCCTTTATGGATCTTTGGTGGTTTTACATTTTTTCCTAGATAACCTCACCAAATGCTCTCTGTTCTCTCCTTTTGGGGAGCACAGATATTTGGGGTGTTCTCTAAAATATGGCTGCTCAATCAGGCACACAGAGCCAGTCCAACTGCTGCACTAAGGTTGTGATTACACTAGAGTCTCTTCTTCCCCCTCCAGTAAGTGACTCAGGGACTCTTCCCAGACCAGGGTCCTGCCTAGAGGGTCCTGAAACCTTCAGGATTTCCTCCCTGGGAGAGCAGTGGGCAGGCCTCCAGCCCCAGTTATACCACTGAGCCAGGGACCCTCACCCAGCATCACCCAGACCCACACAGCCTGGACCTCCCAGCCTCTGCGCTTGTCTCTCTAGAGCTGCCTGCAGGGCCACTACTGCTTCTCTCAGTGAGCAGCCCTGGAGTCTGCCTTCCGTTAGTCCCTGGCAAGGGCTCAATGCCTCCAGCATAGCCACGCGTTCATTCATTTACTCACTCCCAGTTGCTCCCAGGCACCTCTCCTGCACCAGTCCTTCACTCTTCTCCTCCCTCTCTTCCTTGAGCACCTATGGCGAACAGATGCTAGGTGATTTGTCTTAGTCCTCTCCTGTTGCTGTAACATAATACCATAGTCTAGGTAATGTATAAACAACAGAAATTTACTTTTCACAGTTCTGGAAGTGGCAACTTTCAAAATAAAGGTGCTGGCAGATTGGGTGTCTGGTTAAGGCTTGCTTTCTACTTCAAAATGGGGCTTCTTACTGTGTCCTTATGTGGTGGGAGGCGTGAACAGTGGCCAAGGCTGTGTCTTCACGAGGCAGAAGAGATAGAAAGGCATAAGATATGGACTTGTTCCCTCAGTCCCTTTTATAAGGACACTAATTCACCACCTCTTACCACTGTCACATGGAGTCTTGGTTCTAGCATGAATTTTGGAAGGACATCTCTAGACCACAGCAGGTTTCAAACAAGAACCAGATAGGTGCCCTCATGAGCTCCTTCCTGGTCTGGGTAGGGAGAGGGGGACACAGCAGCTTGGGGGTGACAAGCCTTGTGATGTAGAGATGACATGTAAAGGGAGCACTGACTTGGGGGCCGATGAAGGAAGTGATATCTAAGTCAGTGCCTCAGCTGGGTTGGTTGGGAGACAGAAGTGGGGAAGAGTGACTAAAAAGAGGAACAGCATGTGCAAAGAGCTGGAGGCCGAGACCTCAGCAAAGTTCAATGTGGTGGAGTGTGGAGACTGAAGGAAGGGGAAGGAGGGGAAGGACATTTGAAAGATGGAACCTGGAGTGGAGAGAAGCAGCAAGACCAGGAAGGGTTCGCCTTGGTTTAAAAATCTTCCTTGATTTCTAGTTATCTACAGGACAAAACCCTCAGCTTCAGAGATTAGCACTCAATGATTTTCACAATACCAGTACTCTTTCAAATGAAAGCACTTTTTCACATGCAAGTTGCAGAAATCCAATTTAAACTACTTTATCAACAATGATAAAACACTTATTTCATGCCCCTGAAAGTTTTCAGCTTCAGGCACAATTGGATCTAAGGGAGCAAATGATATTGTCTAGAATCTCATTCATTTCTGTCTCAGAACACTTGCACTTATTGTCCTCTCTGGATGGCCTTACTCCCAGATCCCTCCATGGCTGGCTCCTTCTTGTCACTCATGTGTCAGCTGAAATGTCACCTCTGCAGAGAGACCACCGTGACCATCAACAGAAGTGCTGTGTCCTTACCCCAGTCACTTTCTGTTTCATCACCCTACCCATTTCTCTTCTTAGCAGTCAGAATTTTATGAAAATATCTTGTCTGTTTACCTATTTATTTTCATTTATTTGGTCTGACTTCCCATACACAATGTAAGCGCTATAAGAACAGGGAATTTCCAGGATTTGGAACAGTGTGTGGAAGACACTACTGATGTCTGTCTGGAATGAATGGAAGCATGGATAACTCTCTATTGCTCAGCTTTCCTGTCCTCTGTGTTGATTTTGACCTTGGGCTGAGATTCCCCACCGATATTACCAGATTATTGTCTATGAGCTTAGAAACATTGGAAAGAGGGCCAGTCCCTTTCTCAGCAGCTTTAGGAAGAGCCCTAGTGCTAACTCTGATTGGCCTAGTCTGATTACAAACACATCCCATCACCAATCAATGAGTCCAAGGAAAAAAGGATATGGGCCTCTCTCATTGGCCAGGGCTGGCAGACCTTCCTGCATTGCCATAGGAGCCAAGAGAGTGGAGGACTGATGGGTTTGGGTCAGGACACAGTTGTCACCACACAGAATAAGCTCCAAAAGGCATTTGGGGTCATAACTTCTACCTTACTCCTTTTCACAGTCCTGTCACTGAAACCCAAATGTGCTGTTTTTTGCTACTGGAGTGAATCCTAAAATCTGCCATTGCCCCTCCTGAACCCCCTGTCTGGGATACTCTTTCTCTTCAGTGTCCTTCACAGCTCAGGTCAGCTCTCAATCTCTCCAGAAGCCTTCTAGACTTCTGGCAATCCATGGGATCGCCTGTGGGTTGGAGGAGCTGGCCCACCCATGACAGCCCCTGGATTCTTGTCCTGCTTGATGGCTCTTGGAGGAGTCGCTCGCTTCTCAGTGAGGCCAGCAGATGCTTAAGGGCAGGACCGTTGGAGGTCCAGCAGGCTCCAGGCATGGCATGGACCTTGGTACAGACGCTAGCTTGCAGGAAACAATAGGGCTGGATGAAAAGGGGTCCACTGTAGCCAATGGCAGAGCCCTCCACCTAGACAGCTTGGGCAAATGCAGGTGGGCTCAGGAAGCTCTGTGTGTTGGGGGCGGGGTAGGAGGCATGGGGAATGAGTGTGTGGTGCTGGGTGGGCGTCAGGGGCCAGGCTCTGGTCCCAGCTACAGGTGGCCATAAAATGCAACATACATGAGTTGAGCCCACAGCCCTAGGAACACGAGGGTGGACCTAATGGTCCTTGCCCTCCGGGGGCTTCCAGATTCCTGACTGGACGCCAGGGCCCATATTTTCTATGCGCGTTTTGATGCCAGAATGACGCCCCCCTCCTCTGCCCTGCTGCGAGTGCACTGACCTGTGCATCACAGTGGGCAGCAGGCAGAGAATGGAAAAGCGCGACTCGGTCGTCAGGAGGATTGCGGAGCTCTTTCCAACCCCAGGCTCCTTGCCAGGAGCTGCCCGCGCCTGGGGTGCAGGGAGCCGCGCTTGGACTGCCTGCCTTTGAGGGACCACTCTGCCTTTCCGACCCAAGCTCCACTGCGCAGGCGCCCCGCTCCACGGGGAGCAATTCGCCGTGTGGCCACGCGGCGGCGCTCCCGCCTCCTCCTTTTCTTCTAACAAAAACCAGTCAAGAAACAGCAAAAATAAAATAGTAATGATTATCTATCTATATAGGTGTTTTTAAAACGCAAGAGTAATATCTGATCAGA